CCGTTTTTTTCAGCTCTTGGATTTTTTAACACGTAAAATACCTACTACACACACAAGCAGAAGCAAACAATAACCAGAAACAAAACACACGATGAAGCCCAAGTGAAACAAATTAATATTTTAACTGCGGATACGGAACATCACCATATTCATGCATACACGGACGCGTCTTCTGCTTCTTCTTAGGCACAACACAATACTACGCATACACCAAAATATTATGCAAATTTTATGGAAAACTTTTTTTTTGGATACGGTTCGGAAGACTCGTTTGTGTATCACACATAAACACACCTGAATGATAAAAATTCACACGAAATCATCATGAGCCGAATCTGGTTCGTGTTCATTTGAAATTCCGTAAAATCGGTTCTTATACTATGTTTTTGGTATTATCACATGAGCAATAAGATAATCAAAACACAATCACACTCACACACTCACACACTCACACGAAAAGAGATCCTAATGTCGTAACATAAGCGCGCAATTATTCGCATTTTATGAATTTTTGTCAATGTGATGCGATTGAAGAAGCAGAGGAAAAAAAGTGTAAAAACACTAATTTTCAGGCATTTCAAATATTTTTTCGTCATTTTTAATTGCCCACGCTTGCGGTTGCTTAGAAATATACTTGAATCATATGGGAATTTTGTTTTACGATAAAAATAAAACGAAAAATTGTAGATAAACACAAGAAAAATATTTAAAAAAAAAACCTGAAGAAAATGGAAAAAAGAACACACACAAAAAATTGAATACTAACGAATAGCAAAATAGAGTTGCTCTGAGCTTCGCAATCGCGGCTGACAGAATGATTTGTGAATTTGGTACGAAATCGTCAATTAATGAATTTTTGCGGCTGCCATTGATGGACAAATCAATGTCCATCTTATTGATTGTATCTGGATCCACGTCGCACACATCATAACCATCGTCATACAATAATTGTGAGCCTTGTTTTGACGATCGTCGCGATGTCGTGTACTGTTGATGCGCTTTCCTCGATTTCTGCAGGTAGTTGACCGTTCCAATAGTGTTGGTAATTTTTGCAACATATTTTGAAAACATCATTTTTGTTTGTTTGTTTTGTCACTCTTTTTCGTTTAAAATAAATAACTTAATTTGTTCGCGATATGCTTTGATTTTCCTTAACACACGTTCTTATTGATACTAAAGTGTTTTTTTTTCTTTCGTTCAATTTTCAATACGCACGGAATAGTGTCTCTTTGTTTTCACGTTTTGTGATTCAGATTTATATATTGTTCATTTATAGATATTATACGGATGTGAATAAACCTTTTTTTTTTCTTCACACTTTCGACTCTTGGACTTTGTGTATGTGTGTGAGAATTCAAAAAAAAACTGCATTCACTCCGCGGGTGCGCTCAATTTGTGCAAAATGCGTTTATTTCTTCTTTGGTTTCTTTACTGATTCGGATGATTTGGTTTCGGCATTTTTGGCTTTGGCTTGATCTTCCAAGTTAAGAATGGCTTCGACGATGTGCTCAAAGAAAAATGCTCCAGACATTTTGACGAAACTTTTATTTTACTCTCAAAAAATACTCGTGCAAAAATTAATAAATTCGATTGCAAACACTTTTTTTTCTTCTGGTAAGTGTTTTCGCTGTTTAATAACAATGTTCTCTTCTGTTTTCTTTTTAAATAACCACGTTATTCGTTTCTGTTTCGTTTGAAGAATTTCTCGTTTGCTTTAAATTGAATTCTTGTTTTATTTCTTTCTTTCACAATTTAATTTATCTCAAAAAAAATTGATTATTTTTTCGGAACAACAAAATTCAATTTTTATTTTTGTTCAATCGCAAAAAAATACGGTTTTTTTTCTTCTCGTGTACGTCGTTTCTCGTTGTAGGGCGCGTGTGCGCTAAACGCAATTGACGATCTCTTGATTGAGGAATATCAGTCAGAACTAAAGCTGTTTGGCGACATTTCTGCTTATTATATTCGGTGAGATCTGTCGCCGCAAAAACATATGCATGCCGCGAGAGTAGTCGGGCCGTGTCAGTGAGTCGAATGTGCGAAAAGAAAGAAAAAAATAAACAAATACACATGTACGTATATTGAAGCGTTTGGGCTCTCTTTCTCGATGACGCGACACACGTTCGGTGTGTGACCAATACGCGACGAATCGACACACTCATTCAGCTTTGATGTGGCATGGTGTGTCTGTGTGTCACTGTGTTTAATCATTATTCGTATCGTGGTTGACGTACAATATGGGTTTTGTATGTGGTGTACTACATGTACGAGGCGCGCATTAGACGCGCGCCAAATGTGTGGCCATCATTACATGCTCGACAACAATAAAAATGTGGTTCGCAAATTAAAGAAAACAACAACAACAACAATAACAACACCACACCACACCACACGAGAAAGAAACCGCATAATAAACAAGAAATGAATTTTTAACTAGTCGAATGTGTGTGAGTGCATTCATTCCATAGTCGTATATAATGTGCTGCACGTACGTATCGGTGGAATTTGAATATTTGCGCTGGGTTTTGTTTGTTTTTCGTTGTTGTCTTGCGATTGTGATGTGCGTGTGATAAACAATATTGTTACCGGTCATAAATTCTTGTTTTTTGTTTCGCTCTCTTCTCTCGCTCTAGCTCGTGCTCAATTGATTCCTTCTGACTGGACCCAGGCTCCAATACGTGGCTTCCCTGTCGTCGTCAACAGGCCAATGTATAATTATTTATCAAATTAGCGACGATAAACAAATCACAATGGAAAATTCTAATTTATTCTCAGTTTCACAAGTAACCACGAGTTTGTTTGAAATCGATGGACAGTCTTGTGATCCGATGTCGGCGTGTGATTCATTATCACCATGGCTTGCGAATTGACTCGTTTAATTTTGTCTACCAATTTCGTTGTATTCAATTGTATCCATGAAATTATCGCATTTTTAATTTTATCCACGTTAAGTCTCATCTGATTGTATCCATGAGTCGTCTCATTTATTTTTATCCACAAATTTGATTGTTTTCATGAAATCGGCTCATTTTGACCACCAATCCGTCAAGCACGTGTCCAATTTTAGGAAAAATAACGCAAAACTACGCGTTTTTTTTAAATAAATCGATGATCAAATTTCCATCCAAGCAATTGTTTTGTTTCAAAATATTCCAAACATTCTTGTATTTTATTCTCTAAACAGATAGTCAATAAACTGAATTTAAGTACGACTTTTACTCAAACCAACAATTTATAGGCATATAAAAATTGTTTCATTTTTTTCGTCTCCAATCACCGCAGTGTTTATTTATCAAATCTGTTGGAATCTCAACAATTTTCATTAATTTGCTCAGATGAAATAAAAACAGTGAATAATCTGTATTGACTGCATCTTTTGTTCTCTCTCTCTCTCTCTCTCTCTCTCTCTCTCTCTCTCTCTCAATCGACCGCATTAAAAAATGGAATGCGATAAACAAATTTTATTGTTTGATTTTTATGGAATTTAGCGAGCGATTCAGTTGTTCACTGAAGAAAAAAAAAAGTCAAGTAAGGAGCACATATTTTATGAAATTTTATTCAACAAAAGACACACAGACACCAATTTCGGATTGATAATTGAATAAAAAAGCGATATTTTTGGAACTTTCATTGGGATTGTTCATATTTTTTTTGTTGTATCTGCTTTGTTCTGCAAACGCATGTTGAAATATAGCATAGAAGTTTCAATTTCCATCAAAACACTTGGAAACAACACGAATCGATCGTATCTTCGTTTGGGTTTCGAACACGTCAATCTGAACATATGCAAATCCAATCGAGTGTTTTATTTTTATTCATGAAGCCGGTTTTTGGACTTGGCAAACTGAGCACGAAATAATCCTGAAGAATGATCTTAAGTGGACATGTGCAAAAATCAATGGCGACCAAAGCTAATGGAATGCACTTCAGCCGGTGTCACCACAGCCAGAGAGATGCTACTACTTATTCTCAAAGGCTTATTCTAGACTTGTTTTATAATTGCTCATGGTTTGCTAACATCACATGTTACTGCTCATTTTGACCAATTGCCAAAGAGTTCAAGTTGAAGATCATGTCCATGACACTTTTGGCATACCATCCTTCTTGCGTTTATCACACGCGGCAAATATTGACATAGAAACCAAAAATCCGATGAATAACACGAATAAATTTAAATTTAGTTTGATTTGATTTACTACGTCTAATCAATGCTCAATATATTCAAAGCGAGGTCGAAAAAATCATTTCGTGGTTAAATTCGGACCATACATCTTCATTTGCCAATACATTGAACCGTTGAAAACAAAAATAACCTTCAATATACGTTCTTTTTTTTTCATGAAACGTCTCTAATTTTATGCAACATTTTATTTCTTGGAGTTTTTTTTAATTTCTTCATTTCTTCTGTTTTGCGGAGCATTGAATAAAAATTACAATGAAATGCAGCATAAAAAGCATTAAAAGCATTTCCAAGAAGATGAAATGCAAGAAATATTTCGATAAAATACGATCAAAACAAAAGCCTCGCATTTTTATAGCGCTTTTTATTCTGACCTTTGTTCAGGAGATTTTTTTTTCGGTTCTTTTCAGAACATGTTCACTCTTTGTAATCATTTTTATTCGGGTAAAATTTTTTATGCTTATATTGCTCACTAAATGTTTAATTATTTGCATAATTCACACTAGTGAGTTGAGAATTCCACATCGTATCACCAGAGAATTGATGATTAGTAGCTTCTACAAACTGTAGAATCTACGGTGGTTCACTTTATACCGAAAAAAAAAGAACAAATGAAGGTCACTCTTGCTCTCAACTACCCAGCCATTCGAATAAAGTCATTGTTTTGTGTGAAAACCCGATAGAATGTACCAGACGATGAGAACTTTTAATTTCACGAAACAAAAAAAAAATTCCATAAAAATAGAATTAGAAATGCGATGTGATTTTTATTTTCGTTAAAACTCCGACCATTTTGGGCAAGTACTCATCATTATTATTCCGAATCGTGCGTTTCAAACGTCGAGCAAGAAACAATAAAATTGTTTTCGATTAACTAATATGCAAAGTAAATGCTATGACTACAAAATACGTCTATTTTATATCAAAAACGTGGCAGCAGCCACTTGAATCATCTGATTAAAAAAAAAAATAGAAACAAAATTACGTTGTTTGTAAAAGAGATAGTTGTGGGTCAATTGTAGCATCTGGCATTGCAATGAGTATCGATTAATGGAGCCAGACTAATCTGATTACCTATTAAAAACAGCGACTGTATGGCACACACTTATCCAATTCGAATAAAAAAAAAATTGTGATATCCGTGCTAGAAAACCGAACCATTACTGACCCACAAATCAAATTGAGAGTAGAATTTTTACATAATTAAACTGCTGTGTACTACATTAGAAAAAAATGGTTCATTTGAATAGAGAGAGAGAGACCCATTAAATGCACTCATAAAGCAATGCTTTTACTTTGAAGTGTCAGTATCAGCTCATTTCATCGAAGATTGCTGGAAGCGTAGTCTGTAACAGAAGCCAGTTTTGCACAAAACCCAGTCAGTTCAATCGACTCGGTTGTAAGGCAGTCTTAATTTGCGTGCAAAATGATGCGGAGAGCGCGTCTCACGTGCGTTGAATATTGAAGTAGAACACACTTGGATATGCAGATAGAAATCAGAATTATTTCCACGTCGCCATAAATGGAGTCGAGGAAAGACGCGTGCAATTTGAAATCTCTTTCGACGAAATCATTACGGATCAACATTTCGATTGAAGCAACAAAAAAAAAAAACAACAGCCATTGCCATTGAAACACCCAAATGGCATACGTGTAGAAAATTTTAACAAAAACAGAGCTGTTTTAAACAAGGACTTCTTTTGTGCAACACACATTCTTCCTGTGCAAAATACGTTCGGTCTTCCGACCCTCCAAACTGCATATTATCCCAATAAAGAGCTATTGTTTGCACTGCTTTGCATATTCAAGTTTTGTTTCCATTGTAAAGCGATCTTAATTTGCGTCAATGTCAGAGATTGAGAAGAGAAGGAAAATAAAATCACGACGATAAGCAATCGTTCAGTTGGTGAAGCACACATCAGACAGTTTCATCAATCATATCCCGCATTTTTAACTGCTTTGATTTGTGGCACAGATGCAATGCTTTGTCGATATTTAAAAAAAAACTATATTTTAAGTGAAGCATTTTACGTTCTTGAAAATTATTGCCACACTTAATGCAACTAATTGCATCACAATTATATGGAAATAAAAAAAGAAGAAGTGATAAAAACAGAATGGAATAAGAAAAAAAATTACATGAAAAAAGTGAAACGGAATGCGAAAAAAGGAGAAAAATATGCGTTATTCTGGTGGTGACGCGACAGAATTGAAGCAGCAATCACTTTTAATGCGAAGCAGTTCTTTTTCCGAAAACAAGACTTGGTTTCAAAGAATACAATCAATTCATTGTGGAAAAATATTCAATGTTGACATAGCAACGGATGCTGACATTTACTGGCATTTTTGCAATGTGTATTCATTGTTAAATGACCAATCATTGTAGCGAATTGTCATACAAAATGTACAAGTGAAACATTAGACTCAGGAATTTCTCAAGCAAATTCTCAAGCAGAACATACTTTGGGATCTAATTACATAATTTGCAACGTTTGCAACAATTATGCTTCATTTAAAGAATGAAGTTGCTTCATTTAAAGAATGAAGTTGCTTCATTTCCAAGGCACATGAATGTACAGGTGAAGCACTCAGAAAATCAGGCTCGAGTTACATTTTTCATTAGTGCTCGATTTGCATTCAGTTTTTATTTGCATTTTTTTTTTGTTGATTTTTGATTTGCATTGAGTAATAATTTTCGATTTGTAGTCATTTTCAATTCAGCCGAATTGAATTTGGAAATTTGCTTGATTTGGAATAATTTTCGATATTCATTTTTGTACTTGCATGCGAAAATTTCGCATTGCAAAATGCACGTACGCCTCTTTTGTCATCCAATATCCGTAGTGTTGGAAATTTTGCTGAAATATTTTAAAATTGTTGAAAATTGTGTTTAAATTAATTCGGAATAAATGTTCAAAAGCCTTTTAATTTAATGAACACATAAAATGTTCGAAGAACTTGAAAAAAAAAATCGGTTAAATTAACACGAGCTGTTGATGATATTCTGTAGCATCTGCCTTGAAAAATGTCTTAAGTTTTGTCTTGAATGCAAAATTCCGGGCAAAACTGCAACGTCTTCCTTATTTGATGATAAAATTGTTGATTTTCTTGGTTCTCTCTACTGAAACCGGGAAGATCATATTGCAACGGAATGAAAACAATTATGATTATACTAAGTAATTAGCGACGCTTTAATGCAAGCCATCAGAAAAATGTATGCGAACAAATTAAAAACGCAAGATGACTCTGTTGACAAGAAAGATGTTGATGAAAAACAGCCATGTTTGCGTTTGGCAATCATTTGAAGCGTAATTTATTTTGTGTCGTAAATGAAGTGAGTAAATACTTTATTTTGAATTTCAAAGAAGAGAAGAAAAACAAAATGCTCATACACATGAAGAACATGAAGATTGACTTTTGAAAGAAACGCATTTACTTGAAAAACATCATCACGAAGCACCCTTTTCAAACGTTCTAGACGAGCCTAAACTCTCAATAATGGGTATAGGCTCTTATTGAGGGGATTTTCGAACGCATTAAGAACTCAAACCACAAAACGCGTAATAAATCCGCTGTCGAATATTCCAGTGCCCAAACGCAAATAACGATGCTCAACAATGAGATTCATTATGACTTGTCTAAATTTAGAATAGTGCGGCCGAAAATAATGCTGGTCAAACGCTAATTTGTAAACAACGTCCATTTCGAGTCACAGTTGAGTGAAAAAAAAACTTCACATCAATAAAGTTGTTTGATGAAGAGCAGCGCGTAGCTTGGCTACGTCTTTATGCGAATCAAAAGACATATTGTTTGACCTCGTTCAGCACATGTTCTATTCGATTGTTCGGTTCCAGTGTATTCCGTATGGGTGTCAATTGAATCAATCAATTGAATATAATCGTCTTTCGGCCATGCCATTCAATTCAATGGCAACAAGGCTTGTCGTATTTCAATGCATTTACTATTTCTATTAGCACGAGGTAATCAGTCTGATTGATTCTATCATTCTCTCTTTTCGCAGAAATGACAAAAGTTCAATTTGAAAGTGACAGATCTCGGGCTTTTCTTTGTGTAACACAAATTTGTGTTGAAATCAATTGCTGATATTGGTCTGACATTGAAGTTGAATGCGCCAGCAAGCGGTGAAAGTTATACACCAAGAGTTCAACACTCAAGCTGTCTTGATTTGAGGGACTTAGTAGATAACGACACGTTCACTAAACATGATCGCATTTTCGTACGATGGTCACTGTTAAGTGATTTCGGATACGCAAAAATGATGGAAGAAATAAAAAAAAGAATGGCGTCGAATATAGTCAACTACTTGTTCAATAGTTTAAGCATGGTGTGTTAATTGATTTGTTTACGATGTAGAAAATTATAATTATTCGCATTTCGCATCAACGCCAGCCAAGTAAATAGAATGTCGTGAATGTTTTATTTGTATATACACTTTTTTTTCTTTCGTGTGTGATTGTGCTGATGGTGTTTTTATTACGTACGTGACAATTATTTCGAGTCGCAAGCACGCGGCTTATCGGCTCAATTCACTTGAATTATACATTCTTCTTATCCAATAAACCTTGTGCGGTTCAATCGCTTATCGCCTTTTGTACCTCAAGTGGTGCGTGATTGATTTGCAGGCGGAACACTACATTTGATTAATCCCGTAGAATTTGATGGAATGAGAAAATACTTACGAAACTCTCAATCGATTTTCACTACGGCACCACTCTGTCTACAAACATACTTTCGGTACGAAAAACTAGCGAATAGCATTGTTTAATTATTCCTGTCAAAATCAATTCTTAACTCTTGAACGCATTCGTTATTCACGGTTGAATTGAGAAGCTTATGTAGTTTTACTGTGTTGCTTTTACGGCTTCGATTGAAATTACTTACAATCTCTTCGATCTTTGCTTACCACCAAACGGAGCTGAGAGCATTCCACTTGTATCAGTTTTAGTAAAATCGATTTTTTCCACTTTAATTCAAGGAAAAGACGATTAATCGTCACAATTGATAGCATTTTCTATCGCGTTTCGAAATACTTCCTTCGAATATACACTACAGGCCATAATTAGGGATACTAAAATAAAATTTTTCTGCATTTTTCGAGCATTTTCAGTCCAAAATTGATATTGGATATGAAAACTTATCAAAATTCTGACCGAATGGAAGATTTGGAAGATAACATTTAGCCGGACCGAATGTTCGAAAAATGTAGAAACAATATATTTTATACCAGGGAGGGTTATCTATACGTTTGGCCTATAGTGTAACTTGAAATCTTCCGTTAAAACATATACTTGAAATCGGAAAAACTTCGAAAATATCGACTTTTCGGTAAAGTTCAACAAAAATTGTTGTAACAAAAAAGTTTTTATATCCGCTTATCCACCAGATGCAAACTATTCTAAGACGTATTTCCATACTCATTAAATTCATATTTATTGCTATTGCACTGCTAATGGTGCAGGTTTTGTATGAAACGGGTGACGCTTTTGTTGTGTTTTCAAGTGTTTAAGATTAATTTATTTGCAGAAAATGTGCTGCGAAACGTGTCGTTTCTCTGATATCGTAAAATGAAATGATTATTTCATTGATTTTTCATTCATTTACCCGAGGAATACAAATAAACCTGTTGTTTCAAATTTATTGAGAGAAAAAAAAACTCGAATTTTTCTCATTTTTATTGGAATAAAACCTCTTTTGATTTATGATTTAATTGGCATTTATGATTCTTTTAGCATTTATGCCAACTTGTTGTACCTAACAAAAAAAAACCTAAAGAATAATTGTTATAACAAGTACTTTTCTAAGCCTATTCCCACACGCAATTCGAAGAGATTAAATGCAAATGTTAACAACTTTGCCATTTTGAGTTGCTAAGGGTGCAAATCTGTTTGCCTAACGGAAAAAGTACTAGAAAAAATAGCGTCGAAATATAATTGTTTTATAGGCTATAATCTTTAATACTTCCTAATTTAGAAATATCTGCATTATCTATGAGGTATATGAGTCGAAATCGTATAGAAAGCCGCCATATTTATGATTATTGCAGCCTTTTTGATATACATGCTTGGTCTTATCAATATAATTGGACGTTTTGCTCTGCAATTTTGAGAGAAATCTGTTGTAGAGAGATCCGTGGGTTGATGGATAAGATTTTCTTATTAGAGCCGTGCCGCTGTTGATGGCTATGAAGAAAAAAAGAATTAGGAATGAAGAAAATAATATGGAGCACTCCAAAACAATACCTAATTTAATATGGAGCAAATTCAAGAGCCAAGAGCCTAAAAGATTAGAAAGATCTTTTTTTTGAAGAGATTAGCACAGGCGAATGTCTATGTGTAGGCCTATAAGAACTTCGAAAACAGCCGAAAATAAATTGGCAGAGAATGGGCCAATTTAGGCATTATAAAGATTACGAAGATTCAGAGACGTAGATCTTCGAGTGATAAATTGGTAAAACAATAATTTGCTATCAATTAACAAGCATAAAAATAAAATTTATGCTCATGTGCGACGCTTCCTTGTACATAAAGAACAGATGAGGTCACAGATTTGTTTGAGCAATTATCAAGGGGCTAAAGTATATACAAGGCGTAGTTCACAACGGACAAATTGTGGGAAAAGAATTGAATGTGAACTCAGGCCATATAGATAATGGTAATTTTGCCATTGTGATTCAAATTGAATCACCAGAACTTTTTAAATAACACATCGTCGGAGTGTCGACTGTCGGCTGTCGATACACTCTCGGAGGTTGATTTATTTGGATAAACATAGCAGCAGCACGTGTGATTTGAACTACATCGTAAACTAGCATTTGAATTTGCATGACAAATGAAGTCGCTGAGATTTGGCATCGTTCAATTCTCTGTCATTTTTTTGTTCTATCTCTATCTCTCTGAGACTCTCTGCATATCTGTCATTCTGAATCTGTGTCTTTCTATCCCTCTTCCTCTCTGTTTTCCTGCGTTTCTTCCAACCGAAATGTTGTTTTGGTTCAAATAGGCACATTTCCGAGTATTGATGTAAAACGCAAACAATCGTACAAATTCGGAAACAAAAACAACGTTGGGAATTTTTGAGGATCATTCACCATTTTAAGAATTGAGTAGCCAAAACAACAAAAAACTCAAATAAAATGGGTATGCTTTGACAGCGAGATTTCGACACAGACACATTTTGTGAATGAAAAATGAACTTCAAATGAGTGCACCCACATACGAGACATAACAAGTAGTCTCTTTGTCACTCTCATCGAGACTCTCATACATAAACATACTGCGATACATTTTAAGACGCCACAAATTGGCACACGAAAAACAGCACACACAAACAAAAACATTGGATATTTGCTACCGAAATACAAATCGTCACCTTGACTTTGGCCAGTAAACATTTTACGTTAAGCAAATCGGGTTTGTTGTTTGTATCAATCGCAATTTAACGATCACATGTGAACCAAAAAAACACCGTGGGTCTTTGTGAAATCTCTGCAAAAATTCGTGAAATGATAGAAGAGTTTTTTTTATTGAAAATCAATCTGGCGCTGACATAATTGTATTATTTATATCGAGGTGATGCTTGCATTGCGATAACCTGTACAGGCAGCTGCTAGACTCTCTTTTGTTTTTTTGAAAAAATGCACGCATGTTCCTGAATTTTTTTTCCTCTCGTGTCTTTCGACACGATTGCATTGAAAATACCTACACCTTCGTCTGTTCTGACAGCGCAATGAAATGGATCGACTTTTTTTTTCGTCACATGAAGCACTCTAACTCAGATTCATTCAATCAATTATTCTTCTCGAAATGTAAAACAAAGGCGACTTTTATGATGTCATTTACTTTTTTGCAATTAAAAATTCAAGCGGTTCGAATGAATTTTTGCAAGAATGTTCAATATGTATTGGCAATGTTATATCATCCATTCAGAATTTGATGTATTCTTGCATTGAAACGTTGTAAATTACAACGCTATAATATGCATTACAACGCATGTTGAAACTTCAATGACGAAGCAAAGCCTCATCGAAGCATACAGTACAACAGTGTTTTTTTCTCACATAACTACGTAAAACTTGAAAATGAATAAATTCATAAAGTAAATGCTTCATATTAAAAAAGAAATGTAAATAAATCGGTAGACAAAACGAATGTGGAAAATTCAAATATGTAGAATAAACATAGATAAATATGAAATTATTCAGCATCTTAAAGAATTTTACGTATTTCTTAATTATGAATTCCAATGAGGCAAGCCATCGTCATTTTCACTTTAAGGTTTATTTAAACGGTTCAATATACAATGAATCTAGATTAAATTTAAAAAGAATTTCAACTTGAAATCCGTTCTCGTTTCATATTTGTACAGACGCAGAGACAATTTTTCCACACATCTGTGTCACGATTTCGAGAGATTAGGCGCAAATTTACTTATGAACAAGAGAGAAAAATAATCATCATCATTTCTCGCAAAGTTCGAAGTTAATATATTATAGATGTTTTATGGAATTTTGAGCACATATGCTTCGATCTCGACATGTGATTAAATTAATCAAGATGAAAGAGTTTCCATAGAATTGGACTCAACGTTGAAATGGAAGAAATTTTTTGCTTTTTAGCGAAGAAGATATTGCGTGTATAGAAACGATTTTCTGACCACATTGCATTTTCTTGTTTTTTTATGAAAAATGTTCTATGCACCATGCACCATGTTCGGAACATTGAACCATGTTCATTGAACATTTTTCAGTAGTACTTTTAGACGTGATTTTCAACTACTCCTAAATTTTTTTCTCTCTTCTAATACTCTCGTAATTTTTTGCATCATTTTCACCATTTCCGTCTGGTAGGAAAGTTATTGTGAATGAAAAACGCAGTAGAAATGTTCTAGATGCGAGAATGACATGAAGAGAATGACACCGTCATTATTCCACAATTTTTGTATCATTAATCCACAAATGATTAGATGAGATGCGAAAAATTGCAATTCAGTGCAATTTTGCGTCATCAAATGGATTTGATGATGCGCATTGGTCGGTCATGAATCACACTCTGGTCAAGGCCAATAGTCTGACTAAGAAATGTATCCCACCATTAGATGTTTATTGTTTTATTGTCGGATTATTGTTAGAAATCACATTTCGATTCTGAATTTTAGAACAGTCATATTTCCTTGAATAAATCCTACCTCAAAGCAAGTTGTTGAAATATATATATATAACAACAATGACAAAAACAAGAAATATAAATCCTCCGAAAACATTACTACGTTTATAATAATGTTTTAGTAAGAAATTTAGCATTTCGTCATCAAAACGCCAAATTTGATTGGGAGTCACATTGAATTTTTCCCAAAATTCTGTCTGAGTCAGCGAATGACACTCGCAGAGTGTTTAACATATCACAAGATCTCTACCAAATGGGTAAGTTAGGTTCGAGGGGAGAGAATTTTTAATGCATCGTCGGTTTTTACCGATCGACTGTTGATTACATTTTTTTAGCGACATTTGGTTGATTACGTGACAACTAGCAAATAAGTGACGTTCTTTTGAATTTACAATTGATCTGTCGGTTTTCTGTCGAAATTCCACAATGATCTGATGTCAAGACGTTATAATATCGATTGCACGAACCCAGTGTTAAAAATAAATTGTAATTGAAAAGTGAAGAGCGAAAAAAAAACTGCAATCATAATAAATTGATAATCAGATCGCTGTTTTTGTTATAATTTATCGCAAAAATCTACAAATGCGTCAAACGAGATAAGATGAAGAGACGAAATACCTTAATCGATTGTTGTCAAGACGTTTGATTAGTGTTAAATATTGTTTCGCAAATTGGTAATTGCACGGCATGTCACTCTTCACGATTGGCGATTGACGTCTTTGGGGCACACTCACACCGGGCGATAACAACAACAAGAACGAACAAAAATAAAATCACAACAAAAAAAAAATCGTTGTAAACAACGTGTCTTTGTTATCGAACTTTGATTTTAATGTCAAGCACATACAAAATGTATCCAATAAAAAAAATATAAAATCGAAGGTCCATCCGTGCGGCATGCACACAATATGCGTTTCAAGTATGCACAAATCGGATTGATTGGTTGCGCGCGCTAGTCGAACCACCATGAACAAATTCAAGCACATAAAATGATATCACTAAATGAAACTGCACGAAAAATGCTGTGTATGATATGGTCAAGCCAATGTCAATGTCTGATAGAGAATAGATTCTCTACGGAAATGATGATTCCGGTGTGGCGAAGAATTAGCTCGCGATAACCAACGCAACTAGTTAAGCACTGAACGAGAGAGCAAAAAACACTGATGATGCACAGAGAGAAAAAAAAACTTATTCAAAGAACGGAAGTTTCAATATTCGAAATAGTTGGGGAATCTTCATGCGTGCTCGTTCGAGAAAGAAAAAAATGTCCGCATCGTCAATGCTGAATCGTGAATGTCCACCACAATTTCCGTATCGTATTCAACTGAAACAATTAACGTTTTTTTGTTTACACTTGTCAAAATACGTGATAAAATTATGATTTATTGCCGGACAAAGGATAATGATTAGTGTGTGCGAATGTGTTTCAGATGAAAACTTAATTATAAAATGCCACTGACTTCCAACTAAATCACACAGTTTTATTCACGCAATTGACTGGAACTGACTTTAATTTGGCTCAACTAAATAATATTTCGGTGATTTTTGTTTTTCGTTCCTTTTGTTTATTGCCAATTTTTGTCGCAAACACACTCGCAATTTTAAATGAAAGACACGTTTTTACGGCTGCCGAACAATTATATTTTTTTTTAAATAAATGCTTCTTCGTCTGAACGGTGTGCGCACTGTTGAATGAAACAGCCAAATGGATTTGAATTTGAATAAAGAATTCAAATTCATTACATTTTTCACGGCTAACAAGCATAACTTTGACGACTTGTAATTGGTTGCGAGCATTGAGCTAAGCGCGCTGTGTATGGATGGCAAAAACACATATATTTACAATTAAATGACACATTAATCTATCGCATATGATTCGTAATAAGCCAAACAACGCCAATAATAACGTCTGTTTTATACGACAACCAATTATATGCAAATTTCCGTTCAATGTGGTTGATGATGTGTGTAGGTGTTCATGGGATGTATAAAAAAAAATATATATATATATCAAAAATGCGCGCGCCTGCCACACTCCAGTAATAACAACAACAACGAAGATGAAAACAATCACAAACAAAAAGATGGATGTCAATTTCAATAAGTTTACTTAATGTGTTTGATGAAAACAACTGAAGCGAATCACGAATGATTGATAGACAATTGGTGCCAAGTATGCGTATACGGCAGGCTTTTCGATCGAATGTTAAGCATTTTGTCGTGAAAATAGTTTGATCATAGAGTTTTTCGATACGATGTTCTAAATTGGTTTGAAATTGCTGTAAATTTTGTTCGGAAAAAAAATTTCTGTCAAAATTCATCCAAAATTCCATGCTTGGATTGATAGCAAAATGCCATTAAATCAATGCGAATTTTTTCTACGAATTTTTTTCTGTGAAATTGATGAAAAACCAAAATGCGAACGAACCGAACTGCCAATTTACGCTTGATGTCACAAACAACGAATAAATTAGTGCCGGTAGCGTTTTGAATGACCGACAAAAAACGTGCTCTTTGATGTTCTCTGCACACATTAATACATTAGACTCTTGTGGATATTATAATCAAAACAAACCATTTAATCCTCGTTCGTTTCTTCGTTCCCTTCTCTCTTCAATCTATGCATAAAATTAAACCAGTTTGGATTCTCCATTTAGGTTCATCTGGTTTTTTTCTTCGATGTTGGTATCAAATTTCCTTTTAAATTTTTTCTTTGCCTTGCCTCAAACGCAATCAAAAGTGCTTTACTTCTGAATTCCGTCTATAATTTGTGCATAGTTGTGTGACTCGCACTTTCATGGCGTATGTGTGGTTTAAACATGGCGTACGTACGGCATAAGTACGTATGAGATTGGCATACCCAAAGCAAACAGCAGACGCATCAAAAGCCACTCGGATCAACTTAGATAAGCTGATATACGATAATTATACCATGTGCAAATTTGTGGATGGCTTTCTTTTATGTCAACAATGCTTATTGCGGTAGAGAAGAAGACAAAACTGATGCATTATGCTTGCAGAGCCGGTTTATGAACGATAAAAAAAAGTGAGTGTGATAAGAGCACGACAGCAAATGACACACCAATAAGTTTTGAAATAAATTCGCGGGCTAAATTTAGAACTGCGCGTCGCAAACGCATTCTTTCTTGCTCAGCTCATATCTCAAATAGCTTTATGGCATATTATATTTTATAATTCGGTTGATTGACATGGCTAAATGTGAACATTTTTTTCTTTCGGCAACAATTTTTATCAAAGCAGTCCAATTCAGTAATAAAAATGATGATAAAATTAATTACTCCGTTTCGTACTCCAATTTCGAAGTGTTAAATTGATGTGTTTATTTCAAGTTAAATTGTTTTCAGTCATCCCTGAGCAAATAGAACAATTTGACTGTAATTTTCGTTTTCACCTTGAGGAAAAATTGTCGTTTTTTTTTCTAGAATACGGAGAAAACTTTAACGAACGATGAAAACTTCGTAGAATTATAGAAAGAAAAACTTCTTCAAATTAAGTTTCCTTCATCCGAATTCGACGGAAATTTTACGGAATCAAGAAAACTTCGACAGGAAACTTTGAAATATTATTTTTCGAAAACTTTGACACAAATTATACTTCGATAGAAATTGTTGTTAAACTTGACGTTTTACAAATGTTTACTTTATCCAACACGAATTCTCAATGATTTGACATAGATTCAAGCCGTAAAATTAGTTAAAATGTAGAGCTAAAGCATTTGCTTTGTTCGAGTGCTATGAAATCGGTTCAAGTGCATCGAATTGAAAGAATGTGAATATTTAGTTTGAAAATGCTAATTCGATGCTTGCAAATATTTTTGTCATTACGTGGGTAAATTGGAAGTTCCCAGTGTTTTTACGGTGTTTTTTCCTCAAATTTTTTCATTATTTCGAAGAAAAAAATCGAAAAAATAACATTTTTTAACAAGGAAAAGAAGAACATTTCTCGTCAAAATCGGGAAAACCGAAAAATTCTTCGAAAAGAAAAAGCGGGGTATGTTTTGTATTTGAAGCATTAGAAACTTCCCCATCGCCCATTAGACATAAACTGAGTAATTGTCACGACTTTCCCTTTTTATCGTAACATTCAATATTGAATCATCGTTGGCTGGCCGTTGTGGCCACAATGACGCAAAATGACACATCCGACCGAGAATGCAACTGCAAAAACAAAGCAAAATGCACCAAGAAATGGTGACATATCCATTTATGAATGGATTGAAGTCGCTAGGGTTTTCCGTTTGATTAAATATATGTTGTTGTTTATGAAATTATAATGAATAATTTGATGCAGTATGCACTTTATTAGCGTTGAAGGTTAGATCGAACAATAGAAAACTAGATGAGTCTCCCATTCGGCACATTGTATGTTTTTGCTAAGAATCGTGAGTTTCAATTCGAAAAGCCTCACATAAAACTCCTGAAGTTAGGCAATGTGACGGATTGAAGGAAAACGCGAATTGACGAATCGATCGATTTCATTAACACTGTTAATTTAACAGTGTACATTATGAGCAACAAGAGTGATGCGATTTTGCTAAATGATGATTGAGCCCGACTAATTACACTTTTGTATATGGAACAAAAGCGTTTGCATTTTAAATGCGATGTATTTGTTACACGAGCAGAGAGTGTCGATATTCCGATAAGTTTCAACGATATAGAAAATTATACCAGGGCGAATACTGCAATTTCAATATATATGTATATAAAATAAAATAAAATCAAAAGCACGGTTTGAAATTGCAAAATCATTTACATAAAGCGCACACTCGATCTTGACTTGAATAAAGGTGTTAAATTAACTTTTGCCAATGATTAACGCCAAATTAGCAATGCCTTATTGTGGTGGCGTGAATTAATTCTAATTGTAATCGCGCTTTGACTCATCGATTTATCTCCCTCTTTGAAAGGCAAACGATCAGAAGAGAAAAAAACAGCACAAGTTCTCTACTTAATTTGTATGCCGTAATTTGAAACCCCGTGAAGGACAAAGAACGAAAAAAAACATCGAGTCATAATGTGCAATTTATCATTAAAAATGATTGAATGATACTTACCGTTCTGTTGTTGGCTCAGCACAGATCAGCGGCTGTTTCAATTCAATCACTTGACCATTTTTCTCCTTTAGCTGACCACCATTTTCCATGTAATACTGGACCAACTCCGATAATGTTGCAAATTTTTCGCCTGAAATTGTCATTAGATTAGAAAATTGTTCAAATTTTGTTTGGAAAGCGATTGTATTATGAAAATAGAAATAGATTTAGTTAGAAAAAAAATGAACTTGATAAAGATGATATTCTTATCTAGACACATTTCCCTCCAGGAAAATTACGTTCAGAAAATTTTCGTTGAAGAAAATTTTGTCCAAAAAAGTTAAAAAAAAAAATTACTCACGAAAACAGATCTACCAAAACCAAATCACAACTTACCGCCATACAAATCAAAGAAATCGCCATTGTTTTGGATCTTAATGTGGGTCACCTCTTGTCCGCGACGCACTGATAACGTAAATGCACCGGGATTTGATGATGATAGCCGTGCCAAAAATGACCCATCAAAGCCACGTTCCAAAAGTAATGTTTCAGCATCCACGCCGCTTATGGATGGATGAAACCATCTGCAATATTCCATTTGAAAACGAACAATCTTTTTAACATTTGAAATTACAAACGATTTTTAAAGTAGTTGATTTATAGTGTTGAAGGGTGTATTTAAAATTCACGTATAAGTAGTGTTTGACAAATTGAGAGAATCGATTGCTTTTTGCACAGGGTTTTGCTTCGGAACGAAAACTCATGTGCCTAGATTAGGTTCGAGTTGTAGTTCGTTGAAGCTGTTGAACATTGAACGTCAACTGAAACGTTACGCATTTCCATTCGCAGCCACAGCCACACTGATGGCACGACCACACCGATACACACAAACACACATGAATGCAATTTTCGTCACTACATTTATTCTATGTTCGCCCGTGCGCACTGCAACTGGAAATAGGCAAGTTTTGCTGACGCACAAACACATAACAACTATGAAAATCCAATGCATACAGCGCGCTGCACATCCACTTTTGCATCGACTCACAACCACCAACGAAACGCACATATGTTGCGTTCTTTCAAAACTAGAGAAAACGGGTGCCCCGAGAAACAGAACATGACTATCACACACACACGTACGCGTCAAGCGAGTGGATTTTTCATTACAGAGGAACGGATGGATAAAACCTCGATTCAAGCTATAGTTGATTTGGAAAGCAAACCAAGCTGTAGGTTGCAAAGAAGAAGGGGTGAAAATAAACCACTGAAAACTGCTTTTCATCATACGCACTGGATGGCACCGCACCGCACCTCACTCACTCATGCACATACACAGACACAGGTATGACTCTCCAGCAAGGGTCGTTTTTTCTGCATAATTTTTAACCTTGAAAACTTCTCTATCCGGTGCATATAAGTATGTGGAGCTATTAGCGGACATAGGGTGCATGAATAATGCGAAAAAAAGACTGTGTGTAAATGGCAGCTCGCCAAGTATTTTCGACAAAGAAGAACATAAATCACGGGACCTCAAGGCCACCGTGACATTCACTAAATAACCAGAACCAAATTGATACATGCCACAGATGGCTTCTTGCGATTTCCCATGCCAACAAGCTCTTTGTGTGTATGTTTCTCTCTCTCTCTCTCTCTCTCTCTCT